GCCGTGGGCTTCTCGGTGGGCTTCGCCGTGGACTCCGCGGGGGTTGGATCTGGCATGGGCCAATGGTCGATAGGCAAACCATCCACGTGAGGAGGTGCCGGGGGCTTCACCACCTCAGAAGCGGCTTCTCCAGAGGCAATGCCCATGCAGTGGCCACTGTCGACCGAGTATTTGCCGGAACAAACGGTATTGGCGTCTGCCACCACAGCGGTATCCAAGACGGTAGTGACCTTTCCATCCACCAGCTCACCATAGGAGTAGAAAGCCACATAGAATGGGGCTCCCATCGTCACAACACCCGCACAGGCATTGGGGAACTCGCCAAAGGTCTTGGTACATGTCAAGGCAACTGGAGCACACACGAGCCTGGGATGTGCAGGTCAGAACCTAGGAGGCGCTATTCAACTGTTGACCACTAATGCTAAGGAAGAAACAAATCATGGATGTCAACCACCCATGGTTTGGCGGGGGATGTTTTGACTCACACCCATTTAGGCTGATCTGCAGGGGATCCAAATATTTCGGATCGTTTGGCCAAGGTACTGGCTCATCTTGGAACATGTTTTCGTTTTGGGTACTGCAACAGCCACTTTCCAAGTGGAGCCTGCTTTCCACTGCAAGGTGTATGATGAAGCACACTCATGAAAGCACTCGATGACCAGCTTCTCCTCAGGGTGTGTTCGGTGATCGCTCAATTTGAGGGAAACCCTCCTCACCCTGCTCGATGATCTACAGTAGGTCCTTAGGTAGTAGGTATCCAAAACTCTATAGATGACGTAATTTAGAAGGCGCGGTTCCTCCTATGGACACACTGGCTCTTGGATCTGAAGCTCGGAGACCATCAACGTACTCCATGGGACCGGGTTCGAGATGCCGCCCCCAAACAGGGCCCTCGGCCCTCCAAACCACCACCCCTGGCTGTTCTTGGCAACTATGCCAGTCCCAAACAGTCAGAGTCTTGCCCGACCCGTTGACCCCCTGGCTGTTTCGGAGGTCCTGGGGGTCGGTGATCTTGGCGACTCCTGAGAGATCAAGACATCCGAAGTCTGGTGGACCGGTCAACCGGCTCCGAAGTCCAGTTCGACTGGTCTTACCTGGTGGGGCACCGCCCGGTCGGTCAGGATCCCAGCGAGTCGGATCAATGCGGCCATCGCTCGTCCGCTCGTCAGGCCATCTGCTGGTCGACACTCCCACAGTTCACCATCATTCGAAACGATCACAGATCACAGACATGTCCAGAGTGGGAGGTCGGAAGACAACCCCACCGTGGTTGGACCCGATGAAAACACATGCACATGAAATCCTGTTGACATATGTTAAGCATTTTACATCCATTTACAACATCTTACAACACAACCACTCCCAGGGTTGCCAGGAGAGCCGCTAAGAGCGCAAACCAGTCACCAGTGCTTTGTACCAGTGTCCACCCATCCGAACCCCTGGCGGACTCGGTCCGGACCCGGTTTCGCGGTTTCACCCCGCCCACGGCGTCGTACGGCCCGTCCTGGCCTTCCGGTGTGCAACCTCCAGGGCCCGCCATGGTCTCCTTCCTTGGGTCTCTGCAAACAGGATTGCCCGAAAGCTTCGGGGGATCGAGCCCAGTTCGAGGGGAATCTGCAAAAAATAGCCATGTTCTAAAAAGAAAGATCATGCTGAAGCAAAACCAAGTTTCTTCAGATTGGCTTCACATTGATCACCACCGAAGCCAGCCAAGGGAAACCTGGAGCTGGGCTGATCCAACTGAAGCCAGTTTTTAGTAGAGTCTGAATCAGCTGACTATCTGCCAAAAGGTCTGCTGTCAAGTCTTTGAGATTGAAACTCGAGCTCAGTTCCAAGAACTTTCGCAACTGAGAGGATTTGGGGAGATGTATTTTAATCCGACCAAGGGGTATACTGGTCACCTAATTGTTGAACCAAACCCAGGGGGGTTCATTGGGAAGTCGGTCTCCTCATGTGAGGAACACACCCACCTCACGACCAAACCCGTGCTCCACACCAACGTCACGCCAAGGGACGGCTGAGGCATCCCGGGGACCTCGGGTGGTTCTGGAGGCCCATCCATCTTGTCGCAGGAGGTTTGGCCCCCTTGCAGTCCAAGGCAATTCCCGCCACTCCTCAGCCATTGTTTCGCGTCGGACTGAGCGTGTGACCAAGGCATGGGCGATCAGCGATCAGTCCGAGGAGGAAAAGACTCCCATCAGACCGCGTCTGTGGTTGGGGCGTTGATGTCCCCCCAAACGCTGGTCATCCTTCATGATGACAATCAAGGACGAGCCTGTCATGTTTGTGTCGAGGTGTTTATGGTTGCGCAGCTGAGTGGCTGTGTAGTGTATGAGTACTCACCTTGACATACGTTTGCATCCGAGAGGAGGAGATTTGTGTCCAAGATTTTTTGATAAGAGTTGGGCCCCTTTTCCGCACAGTAGGCATAGAAGGCGACGAAATAGTCAATACCAGAGTAAATGGGCACGATGCCACTGCAGGAGTTCGGAAACTCGTCGAATGGCTTTGCACAGGTCAGTGGTATCTCGCTGCACTGAAAGGTCATGCCCAGGTCCTGCAACATTGCCACTGAACGAGCTCAAAGCCAGTCAACCTTCTTCTACCACACTCAGTCAGTTTGTCACCATCACTACCAAGTGGAGCAAGCCCTGATGATTGAACATGATTGGTTGCTTGTGTTAAACGTGGTGCCTGTGCTTCCTGGGCTTTCTTTCCCCTTTTCCTAGACCACGAAAGGCCCCTTCTGTAAAAAGAGTGGGAGTAAATTATATTGGGTGTTCTCAGGGTGTAGGTTGTGAGCGTTTTTGAACATGAGAAAGTCACCCAAGCATCAAAAACCCTTGAAAAACAGACATTGTTTTATGTCAGTGGGTGTGATCAGTGCACGGTGCCTGACTGTGTTCCCTACCAAACCCTGTGCTTTGTGGTAGAATTGACATGATTTTTCTGAATTCGGCATTCTTTCGAGAGTCCCGCCTTGTTGGAGCATTCTTTCGATTTCGAGATGGCCACGGCCATGTTGGATGGCTTCCCTTCTGCAAATTTCACCGTGTAGGCTTTGGCACATTCCAGCGTACACTCGGCAAAGGCTTTCTCCTTTCGCCACGCGAGTTTCGCGAGACGCGAGTCTGGAGGCCGTCGCTAGTCGGTGGAGGCCATCCCTAGCAAAACTGAATGCACAGAAATGGAACAGCAATGAACCAAAAGAAAGGAATTACACAGTAAAAGAAAAAAACAAATGCAAACACATGCAAAGAAAAAAAACGAAAAACAGAACCCAACACTTCGTCCTACCTGGGGCTTGGTGAGCTTCTTGATGCCGTCCGGAGTGCATGAATCTGGACCCTTCAAAGTTGACACCTTCGGGTGGAAACCGCGGATCCGGCTGTCCAGGGACGAAGGTTGCGGTCCCTTCAACTTGAGAAGGGGAAGACACGAAAAGAAAAAGACAGCCTTAGCAGTCGACACTGGAAGTGATCATCCAGTTATATATGTCAGAACAATGTGACTTTGAGATGGCTGCATTGCCTCGAAATCACTTTGCACACGGAGTTCAAACAGCTACACTGCTACACACCATGGTGAAAAGCGGTGTCACTCTGCCTGTGCATGACAAAACAGAAGTTTGAAGGATGTTGAAGGAGTTGGCGTGCCTCCAAGGTCGCATCACATTCTTGCTGCGCTGCGGCAAGAAGGCAAAGGCTGCTTCCAAGGATGAGGGCTTCGATCATTCCTAAGTGCCAAGACAGTGTCTTCCTTCGTTCTTGTTCTGTTCCTGTCGTTTACAATGTCTCCACCAAAAAGATTGCCCATCTTGGACGTTTGATCTTGCTATTCTTTGCTGCATGCCATTTCTTGCCACACTTGTTCTAGTTTTCAAGCTTGGCACGAAGGAGAGCTCTATCTGTGGAATCTCCCTTCAGTGCAAGTTGATCCTCAGCACCCCATTATGAGACGCTAGCCTTATTTGAATATTAATATTGATTTATATAGTGTGTGTGTCTGTGTGCGTGTGTGCATAGAGAGAGAGAGAGAGAGAGAAAATACCATGTCTGACAGTAGCACCCCTGGAACACCCAGATGAACCTCTGTCCGAGCAAGATCAGCTTCAGCCCTCGTGATGGCCAAATCAAACAACCTCTGAAACCTATAGGCACCTTCAGTACGCACTTGAAACCTATTGGAAACAGGGTCGTCTCACTTGGCTTCCCTTTACCATGCGGTCTTCGAGCTGCACGCTCACAAGACCTGGGACTTCATGTCTTCAATCTGCCTTCGTTCCAGACCTGGTGCCGGCGCCAGACCCGGCGCCGCTCGGGAGCGGGACTCCGGTGAGACTCCGGCACCGGAGTCTAAGTCGAGTTCGGATTTGAGGGTCTGGAAGAGGACGTCGGTGCGTGCTCTGTGTGCTCTGTGTGTATGTGTGCAGATCTTCGTAATAAGTAGCATCAGTGAGTGCTCATGCCACCAGGCAAGTTGCTCATGCCACCAGCCGGCAGATAGGCCAGTTGGCAGACAACAACTTTCTCTCCGTGTTCCTTGAGCCAGTCAACAGCTCCAAGAAAAGCGAGTCCTGGTGTGTCAAATTGATTGAGCATTGTGGGCAAACGGTCGCAGCGCAGCAAGGAGTGACAAGATGGGAACTAATCCACTTCCATGTGCGGCAACACGGCAGAAAACATAGGCTTCACGAACCTCACCCAGTTCATTTATTTGTTTCGTGCAGCAACTACCAGCAAAAATGCTAGGTTGTTCCGATTTCTTACTTCCCTGGTCCTTTGTTGGTTCCAATGACGATCTACAGTCTACAGTTCAGGTTTTCCTCCCCGTTCTTGCCAATGAAATACAGGCACTGCACGTTCTCCACAAAATCCACTCAAGGACTCAAGGGCTCCTCTCTCATCCGCTGCATCCCTTATCAACACACCTATCCACTCTCTCCCCGCCCCACCCGTTCTACTTTCTCAGTCCACACGCGTCGCGTTGGTCCACCGTGCCTTCGGGCGACGCGTCCGGCTCACAGGAGTGGAAGCTCATCGTGCTGTAAGAGGCCATCCTCGGCGGCATCGGCTGCTTCGTCCGGGAGTGCGACGGCCCAGCGACGCCCGGGACCTCGCCCGGAGCTACGAACGAGGTGGGCGCGAGCTACGAACGGAACGGCCGGGCATGACTACGAGTTCCATCCTCGGCCGTGCTGCGGAGTCGAGTGGGTCGAGCGCTCCTTCAGTCGCCGAGGGCTGCGGGCCGGAGTGGCCGTGCTGTCGGTCTTCACAAAAACAACACTCACTCACAAGCTTCCTGGGGACGAAAACGAGTTCGGTTGTTCTCGGGTGGTTGGACACAGTTCCACTTTGAGCTGGTGGGTTTTGGATACCGGAACTGCTGTGGGCAAGACTATGGGGGTGGTGAAGTGATTCGGCACCGGCGGGTTCGTGGGAGGCGCCCTCTTGGCCGCCCTCTTGGGGATTTTTGGCCCCTGCTTTTGATGGAAGTTTTGATGGGAAGGAGAGATTGTCGGATTTTTGTGGGCATACTGGTCTTGAAGATTGCAACATCCGAGACCAAGATGCGGATGGTCAGGGAGAGATGAACATGGGGTTGCGTTGCGACCATGGGAGAGATGAACGGGATCTATTCCATATAGTGATAGGTTTGGCGGTCTGGAAGCATCTTGAAATACTGAGGGAATTTCAAAACGCCGTAGTGCTTCTGATGTGCTGGCCACGTAGCTGGACTGGTCGAGATCGTGAGAGACCCAAAGACCAATGGACACTGTATGTGGATTTCCCCGAAGGAGCAAGTGCAGGAATACAAAAGGTATAAAGGGGTCACCCCATGATTGAATTCCAAATACATGAACTTCATCCGCCAGTAGACCGGGGTTCTGGAGAATTGCCATACTTAAAACACCTCAAATTCCAAACAGAACCCCTTAAAGAAAATGTTTTTGTCTCAACACAATCTCCTACATCCCAGGACCCTCCAATGGGGTGTCCTGGCTGGACTACCCCACACTACCGGCCGTTCGGCTTCCAGACAGGGCACCCCCACGGTGTCGGGTCCTGGTACTACCCCTTGCTTTCAGGGCATACCGCACACCTCCGTACAGCAACTTCTTCGCGCCGTTGGAGCCCAGCGTCAGCTTCTTTCGCCGCGGCACCTGATCGAACCCCCCCGCGCCAGGACCCATCGGTGGGTCACAGCACCCGGGTGGCCGTGGAACACACTTTGGTAGGTTGACACTGTCACTCAGGTACCAGGACCCCTTAGCTGTGATTCGGGGTGTCGATTTATAGCCCCGAAACTCTGTGATTTCGGGGTGTCCATGTCTACCACCCCGACTGGGGTCCTGCTAGTCTATTCGCTTCATTGCCACGACCCAAACCAGGGTTTTCCGGTGCCATGACCCACAGGCACATTGGCACGAGTGGGCACTTGGCCGCCCTTGTCCTTGTCCTTGTCCTTCTTGTCCTCCTTGTTGTTGTTGTTGTTGTTGGTGGTGGTGGTGGTGGTGGTGGTGGTGGTGGTGGCAACCGAAAAGAACTCAAATCCACTGGCTCCACCAGGTCAAAAACCGTGATGGGGACATCCAACAGAGGTTGAAGAACCCGAACTAGACTATCCCAGGGACGGGTACCGTTACGGTGACGAGTCCGTTCGTTCAGGTCACTGGATACCTCTGTTGGATGACCCATGATAGAACCTATAAATCGAACTCTACCAACTATAGGCCCCCCTTCCAAGGGTGGTCAATGGGGTGTCCCGAGGTGAAGCTCTTTTTCCATCGGGGTTGTCGGACCTCGCGTTTCACGGGGTGAAACGAACCGATCCTCATGTCATCTCAATTTCCAAAAACTCTCGATGTCCTCTCTTCACCGCCAAAAGCCACGTGTTTTCCGAAAAAGCCCCAGATAAAAAAGAATAAAACGCAGCCACCAGCCTCACGCACCAAGGCTGCCCAACTGCAAAAGGCTGGGAAAATATGAAGACGTCCGAGCAAGACCTGCCAAAACACACACGGCGATGTATCGAACCCGGCGGAACCAGGTGGGGCAGTTGGGCTGTGTTGGGTTCGCCACCTGACTTGGAGGTGACTCAGGGCGGCGTGACGTGTCCATGAACCACCCCAAGAGTGAAGAAGAAAAAAACGCAAAGTGAGTGATCCATCCAAAAGCATTTGTATGACCCCTGGTGCCATCTATGGTGTCATCAAAGGTGCGCACGAATGTCGCTCACAATCCGTGTATAAAAATAACAAATAGGGTCGGTCTTGAGCATGGAGCACTGAGCTGTCCTTCTTGAATTATGCATGCATACACCAATATTCCTTCCAACAATCATGTGAAGCGTACCCTGAGCTGAAGACAACCTCCTCTAATTACAAAGGGTTCTGCTCAGTTTTACAGAATGATGTAAGGCAGGGTAGATCCGATTCCTTTCCCGCGATGGCCTCCACCCTAGTAACGATGGCAACACTGTTCCTTCCGTTCCCTCCACGAACATCCTCCGTCTTCGCCCGCCTCCAAGTGACTATTCCGCTTGGCCAGGAAGAGCCGTCGCAGCTCCTCCTCTTGCCTGGCGAGGAAAAAAGCCGATGAGAAGCGTCCGGCCTTCAGATGATTCCTGCACGGCTTTTCCGGGTGTTACTGAGGACAAAAAGGGTTGAACCATGTTGAACCATAGTACCAGCAACTGAGAAATAGTCTTCCCGCTGCCACTTCTACGTGCAGAACTTGACCTTGTCCCTAGTTCACAACACCTGAATGAGCACCAGCTGGGTCTCGACCGAACGGGGTGAACAAGGATGAAACCTGAAGAAGTTCCTGAACTGGCCGTCTGATGTTCGATCTCTGTCTTCTCCAAAACCATGAAGGGGACCGCTGCTAAGCACCGGATCCGCTGCTAAGCACCGATGTTTAGCCCATCCCGACCCACTATGATCCACTTAGTTCTTTGCCCAAAACCCGCAGTTGTATGCCACCCAAAACAGCTCAAAAACAGAGGACCTCCGGCATCTCCCACCCAGGACCTCCGGCAATCTCCCACCCCACGCGACCACGCAGACTCGCCAGGCGGTCATTCGCCGTGTCGTTCGCGTCGTGCCGTGCCTGGCCGCTGCGCCGAGGCGCTCCAGTTGCGTCCACACCTTCTTCTCCACTCGTCGCAGCTCCAGCAGCGCCTTGCAGCGCCTCTGACTCACTTAGCGGCAGATCCAACACAGGTTGAAGACCCCTAAGTGCGACCACCCCGGTAGGTTTCGTTTGGTGATGAGTTCTCAGAAACGTGAATTGGAGGTGAAAAACTCTCAACAAATCCCTGGAAGGATCCCATCTGAAGGACCCCATGTGCCTGTGCCGAAAACCAGATTCTGGGGACCCACGAATCAATAGATTGACCCGTCTACTACAGGCCTACATACAAATGTCATCAAAATTCCACCATCAATGGTATATGATATATACCAGGACCTTCCAACAGGTGTTTTTTGGACACACCCTTTACCTCTAAGAGGCTATTGATAGGCACCTCTTGGATGGTCCTGGTATATATGACATATATATAGCTGAACTAGGTGGTTGACCACATAGGGTCACAAATGCTCCGGTTCTCGGTCCTGGTTCCACTCCGCGGTAAGGCGCACAGGGCGGCCACAGCACGCCACAGGCGTCCGCCCGGATAGTCTTAGACACAGACCCTAAAACACAGGGGAAGCAAAGATAGACTAAATGGTCCTGTGTTTTAGGGTCTGTAAATCAAAACTTTGAAGCTCTACTCAAAGTTTCTGTAAATCTAAGCCAGGAGTACAAACATTGCACTTTTTGAGGGCAGGCACGAAGGACAAAGCTCCCGAAGTTCTCTGCCACGGCGACGATGCAGCTTAAGAGACACATGGAGCACATCCGCAGTTGGTGCATGAAGCACATCCGTGGATCTTGAGAGCATATCACAGCACGAAGTGGGGCACGGCGCCGACGCATGGTCTCCCTTTCGCCCCCCCCGGTTCCGCTGCAGCCCGCTGCGCCCCCCCCGGTGCGACGGTCGGTCGTTTGGCCGGACTCGCCCACTTGCTTTCCTGATTTGATGTGCGATTCGTCCAAAAGGGGGCTTGATTCCCTGTGGAGAAATATCATCTTCGCAGGTGCTGGATGGCCACACTGTGTCCTATGTTGCATGGTTACACTGGTTTCATGTCCACTTGTCTCAAAAAGCATGGGGCATTCAAAAGAGCACCTTGCAATAGCACAAGGAAATGAAAACCCAAACGATACATAACCTCCTCAATCTTGACACATAAACAAACCTTACATGAAAATGAAGATAAACCCAGGCGCACAGGGGATTGCAAGCTAGTTTGGTCTTCACCCACCTAGAAACCCCCTCACGCGAACTATCCCGGCCTCATTCGCACTTGCCCCCGCAGCCGGCCCAACTGCTTCTTGAGCCGCGCGCACTTGAAGCAGTGGACCACGCGGCACGCGCCGCGGCACGCGCCGCGGCAAGCGCCACGGGCACCTGGGCGGCAAGTTCCGAAAACGTGCGAAAAGCACAGCGAACCTAGGATTCGAACTCGTCATATCGGACCGGAGGCCTTTTAAAACCCACCCCAACTGGAGGATGATGGACTACTTTCGCCTACAGCTGCCTAGCTGAGGCCTTTGAAAAAGCTGGCATCATGCCACGTGATGCCCAAAAGGAATGTGTGGTCTGGTCCATGAATGACCGTGTTTCTCACAGATTCTCACCTCAGATCTTCCTTCGCCGGACTCGGCGGCGACCCATTCGGGTCGGATGGTGGTTCATGCACACCCCTTAACTGCTGGGCTATAAATAGACACCCCTTGGATCCCGATGTCAAGGTGGCGCCATATTGGAATTCACCATTTACATCTTTCTGCTTGGGACTGCTCCAGGAACCCCAGCCCTCCCCCCCCGACCGGACGTCCCCTGACATCGACCACCCCGCGAATGCGCAGCTGCGCCCATCGCACCGAGGGACATGACGAGGGACGTGTCGCTCCGCACGGGCACGGATGAGGTCCAATGGTCTCGGAGGTTCTCCTGGGTCAAAAGGAGGTTCTTTGCTCAGGAGTTCTTCACCAAGTAGTGAGTTATAGAGCGATATGAGCATTCATGTCCGTCCGCTCGAAAATCGTCATGAGCATTCCTGTCTGGAGTCTTAGGGTGAGTTGAGTGTTTTTCTTCCGCTTGCCATCCGAATTGATGAAGTCTTTTGTTCAGCGCTTGAAGACGTTGATGCTCGTCGAAACGTCGAAATGCGATGGATGATCTGAGAACTTGATCTCCACAGGGACCTCTGGTGGTGATGAAACATCCGATGAACCCCATCTTAATATCCCGATGTTCTGATGCCAGATTTCCATGCACAGGATCCGCAGGAGAGATCATATGTCAGCTGCGATGATCATATAAAGAAAGCTCGAGATGCTTTATTGGATGCCTTGCTACTTCTTGATGCCTGCACCTAATTAGATGCACTGCGCGCGTCCGTACACACTTCATATGTATGTATACAACTATGTACAATTTTACCACCGTAGCATACGGGAAGGTGCTTAGTAGGAGCGGCGACGGAGGATGTTGTCCGCAAGTGCGTGTGCCCAATATATAGTGATTTAGGTGTGTAAACTAAGGAGGTCCCCAGCCAAACCCTCTTGCCAAAAAAAGGAAAAGGCCTTGGGCCTTGGGCCACGAGGAGAATCCACACTCATTTTGGAAGTTCTCCCCGATCTCCCATTTCAAGCCCGAAACCTGTGAAGATGCTGAGAGTTTTTGGATCGATCAAGTCACATGGATTTGGAGAAAAACTGTTACACTCACAACTTTTAACAATCTGGCTGGTTGTGAGAGACCATGCTATTCTCTGTGTTAATTAGTGAGGTATGTAGGTTACATATATATATATAATATTGCTCACAGGATGTCAGGATACATGACAAGGACAAGCATGACGGCTCGTCGCAGCCAGGTCTTTCGGATCATCGCACAGCCAGGCTCCCGAGCGAGTTGATGTCTACTAGAGCTGACTTTTTCTTCACATCCTGCGGGCGAAAAGTCTCGAGGCATCCTGAGCATGGGTCGTTTCTTTGGCCTCAAGGCCAAGGGAGGTGTACACCCTCTAGGCAAAGGAAAACCATCTTCTGCCATCCCTCAGGACGGGTAGACTCGGGTGGTCAGGGGCCGAAGATTCCCACACCCCGCCCTTCCACTCCCTCTCCACCCGGGAATGGACCCAAACCATAGATGTTAGATGACTCAAGGTCAATTGGAAAGGGACGGGAGGGAGATGAAACTGTATTGTTCCCCACAAAAAGCATTGGCTGGCATGCTTCGAGAACAGGTTCCTACGGTCACCTACGTGTGGAGCAGACTTAGTGTCATTTTGCAGCATGCTAACATATTGAAGAGTTTGTTCCGACATATTTGTGGTTACCACGTGGGTGAGATGGGTGGAACATCTGAGCTCATATATTCGTTGTGAGAGAGAGAGAGAAAGAGAGATTCGAGCCACCTATGTGCACTGGCCTAGCTGGGAGACACAATGAAGTAAGTCTGGATGTTCATCCCGAAAATCCCCCTTGAGCTATCACAAATTCTGCATATTTATCGGATCCGTTGTATTCATCAACTCTACATAACTCTACCTAGAGTCCAGACATGACCCCTGTTTTGATAGGAAAGGCCACAATTTTGGGACTCAAGTTTTAGGTACTTGCTTACCTTTCCCAGAATCTTCAAAACTGATCATCCATCCAAGATCACCCACCAACCACCCCCAACCACCCCACCCCGAACCCGCCCCGCCTCACAGCGACGCCGCGCGGCGGCCGAAGGAAGGACACTCCGCGCGGCGGCCGCGAGGCTCTCCAGCTCCGCCACCCGGAGCTGGCGACCACGGTGCCACGGCCGAGTCCGGTGGAGAGTCGAAAGAGTCGGTGGATGGCGAGTCCCCAATTCGTGGTCGTTTGCATGGAAGATGGGGAAAATAGATGAAACTATATATATATATATAATATATAGGTGTTTGGATATGTTTGGAGTGGGCTAGTGGTTTTCATGGGTGAGGCCGAAACGTGCGCCCAATCTCAGGAGCTGACCGAACCCAAATCAGACCGAACCCAGGCTCAAGGCCGTGCTTTTTGGAGTACGGAGACGGATGGAGTTGGTCCCTTTCTTTCATTTCAACCAGCGGTCGGTCTTGGGGAGCCTCTCTATCTCTCTGTCAGTCGCTCGTTACGGCTCCCCGACCCATCCAGCTGCTGTGTTTACGGCGACCCGAGCCGTTCGAGCCATGTGCTGGCTCACTCTGGCTCTGAGAGACCCAAAGTGGTCAGCACTCAACTGGCTCTTGGATGAACATGACACTCCATCTTGTTCGATCTCCCAAAGAAGCCTACCCTCTAAGATACCTTCAGTTTCTTTGACTCCATGTGGTTGGGGTCACAGGCTCAACAATCCTTCCATAGGACTTCGGGGCGGAGGAAGTCTGGTCGGCTTGGGAGATCCATCCCGTGAAGCGAAGGAATTCCACCAGCGGACACCTTTCGTGGGGGGACGACCATCACAAAAACAAACGACCTTCAAGGGGTGTCCAATGGAAGTCCTGAAAGTAGTGTAGGGGCTTCCAGTGGTGACCCCTTTGAATGTGTTGGAAGGTTAAAGTTTTAAGGTTAGAATAACTCTACTGACTGGGTATGGCTTTCTTGCGCTTGCAGTTGCTTCTTTTCTTGGGCCGTTCCATGCTGCTGAATCGGAGCCACCGGTGCGGATTCCGCCGTGGCCGTTTCGGTCTATCCCGCTTCTAGGCGACACGGGCCATGTCTAGGGCGTGTTGCTCGACCTGAAGGTATCTGGTTCTAGTTACGCTGAGACTCTAGGACTCTAGCATGCTACTGTAGCCAGCTTGGCAATGTATAATTTAGCTCCTAGCATGTCCCACCTGGAGCCTATCACACTCGCACCAGACTTTTCCATGTTGCATGGATTCTGATCGTGCCGGAATCCTGCGTCCGTGATTTTCAGATCCCTTCGCCCACACGACACATGACACGACGGATGACACGACAGGTCCATCAGATCCCGCCAACTTGTTCTCCCCAATCCAGCCTGGGTGTGCTCCCCTCTTCTCCCTAACCACCCGGTACACTCACTGCAGGCTGTCTTCGGCTGTTATATTCCCTAGCCGCCCTAACCATCGGAAGTGGTTTCGTGAACACCACCTGTAACAGGTGGATTTGGGCGACCACCACGACTTAAAACGGCTTTCATCTGGGGTGGATGGCTTTCCTCAAACCGTTGTACACCTCATGAAAAAATCTGGTGGACACCTACTTACACACCTAGTGGTTTCATGGACACCTAGTGGTTTCATAGACACCTACTTACACACCTCATGGTGTGACCGTGGAAGGCAACCAGCTGGCCATGACCCTTGGATCTGTCATCCTCCCAGCGCCGGACATCCACCCAAACGCGTCTCGGAGCGGCACCGGTCGGATGAAACCACCAAACCGTTCGGGCTGAGCTGAGCTCACGCTCTACCCCCATGCCATCCATGGTCTTCCACCACCATGATGAGAGCTTCAGGGAGTGAAGGTGATCTTGAATGGTCCCATGGTAGCCCTAGGCTTCCAACCACCATTAATTTAATAGGCTTTACCGAATCAACTAAGGATTTTAGACTACAAAAACCAGGTCAACCATTCTTATTTAATGGTCTTGGAAGTCTAGGGGTATACCATGGTATGATTAGAAGATGGGTGGTGATGTCCTCCATCCCAGTCCGATGGGCCGATTCCGCCGCCTCGCAGCCCGAGGTCGATGCTGTGCCTGGTCGGAGCACTTGGAAGTTCTTCTTTGGAATCCGGGGAAGAAGTAAATACGGCAATTTTCGGAATCCAGTAGTTGATCGGTCCAGTTTAGGATGCACTTCTGGATTCGGAACCAAGAACCAGCCGTCGCCCACGAACGTCGCAGACGACGTTTTTGGCGGAGATTCACAACAACAGCACATTCCGAGAATGACGTCCTCCATGGCATGTGTTCCGGAATGCCCATTTCTGTCGAAGGCGACCAAAGCACTGAGAGGCACGAGGGGGGATCATATCATGATCTAAAGCACTGATCAACCATCCCTAGAGTCTAGAGGTGATTGATGGTGTTTGATATGTGATTCTCACCGATGGTCAACCAATCACCAACAGTACCCCTGTTCGGACAATCTGCAGCCCATTCCCAGCGGCATAGCTGCGGGTTTCGGATCGTGAAAAGGTCTCAGATCACGCCAAGGGGGAAGTGATCCCTCAAAAAAGGGGTCACTGCGTCACTGGCGGACCTTTTGGAGGGTCTGGCTGCGAAGCCTCCCTGTTTCAAGACAAGACGAGAACCAGTTCTGCCAAGCCAACTCTCAGCCAACTCTCACCTAACCTCAAGCAGAAACGAAATGGCACAGATCTGGAACTCTGGAGCCGCTGATCATCTTCACCCCCAAGCAGCCGAGGCTTCATTCTTTCTGAAGCCAGGCTACCTACGGTCAACCTACCGGCGGGCCGGGTGTGTTCCCAGCATCAGGGTGCCATGACCCACCATCTAAGACGTAGATCCTCAAGGCCAAGTGATTTTTTTTGTGGCCCAAAAGGACCAACCGAGGACCAAACATTGGAGGCACCATCCGCGACCTCTCAAAATCGGATATGGCGGACCCTGGGTCGTTTCCCACCCCCAAAATGAGCAGAATATCGCAGAATACACGACTATAGGCATGGTCAACCTGGAATAGACCGTGGCTCTGACCCACTGGGGTTCTGAGACATTCCGGTCTCTCGACAGTTCGACTTCGAAGGCTTCATACACCTGAAACGATCTCAACATTGAACAGCAAGATGGTAAATTCACCCAAGAAACAGCCAACAATCGCGTTTGGCATTTCCAGGTAGGTGACGGATGTGGAAGTTCCAGGAAGGTGCTGGACTCCCTTGAATTTCCTTTGTCGAGGTCCTCGTTACAGTTGTGTTGATCCTCACTTTCCATTCGGTCTAGTTCGCAATCCTCACTTTCCAGCGCTGTGGACCACTCTGCCATTGCCTGGTTGGGCCAAGTCGAGAACTGCCTTGGCTAGCCTGACGAGACCACGAGACCGCATCGTTTGCCAAGCGAAGAGACCGTGTCGGATGTTGGGAACAGGAGACCGTTGTCTTCATTGGTGGACTTGCTGTGTCTTCTATGTCTTCCTCAGTTTTCCTTACAAGGACCCAGTTGGAAACCGTGTACTTGCAAAATCGAAGAAGTCGGGAAGAGTACACGACCTACAGTATTGCCGAGAGGTGTCCTAATGTTTGATAAACTCATAGAGATGCAGAAAGGGGATGTTCAGAACGGCCAGTCACAGGTTCATAATTCTCCACTTCACTTTGGAATCCACAGAAACCACGGTTCTGTTTCTACTCATTTCTACTCACAGAGTTCACTGACATCAAACCTGCTCGATAAAGAACCCATTTAGGAACTTCTGCCTTTGCATGAGTGTAGTCTCCAGCATAGACAAAAAAAAAAACACATGCAGTTCATATTTAAACAGTCGGTCTTACTTTTCTATCAAATACAAATCGAAAGTGATCCAAACACAGTCAGTCTCCAGCGATCCAAACACTGGTACACCATAGATGACCATGCATGTGCGACGGTTTCAAGGTTGGGGGAACCACTACGTTTTTGGGTCATCTATGGTCTATGGACGATCCAACTCGGAGCGATCGACAGTTCCTGGGGGTCGATCCAACTCGCATGTTCACCAGAGGCATCATCCTCGAATTGTACCATGCAGGGACATAGTATAGTACAATGTGTGTTGATGGTCAAACCAATCCTGGAATTGATCGAACCACCGTGTGAATAAGTGTGAATAGGTTTCGATGTGTTAATCCATCCATTTCTCCTTCAATCTTCCATCAATCCATCTATTCCAGTCAGATTTACAGTTTCTGTAATTTTCAGGAGACAGGTCCATCAATTCCCCTACTTCGGATTTCACCGGTCCTGTCGGCGCCTGTGACACCGCAGCCCGACATCGCGCTCCATGGGGCTTCGTTGGTCCCATGTGGTGCTGGTTGCGTTCGTCGATCTCAACTCCTTTCGCTTCACTCGAGCTTTGGACCCCGATCTGACCAGCTTGGGGCCATTGCTATGCTCGGTGGAGGCCATGGTTAGTAGGTTTTTGAGGCCATCGCTATTGAGCTCATGGCCAGACCGACCGGACCTACCGAGCTGTTGCTGGTGTCGCGCTCGTGCGTGCCGACCCTTCCCTGTGCCCGTCGGTCCGTGTAGCGAGTCGCGGCCGCCCCGTTCGTGGCGTTCGAACGCGGGGGGTGGGAAGTGACTGGAAAACCAGAAACTCTGAAAGGAGGTGACCGTCGACCCGTGCGAATAGGCTGCTTCTGGGTTTTCTTGATCCATCAGCTGCACCAAATGACACCAGGTCCTCTCACTTTGGATGCTCGCTGGTTGATTTGGGACTCAAAGAAGGAGCCCTTTCTGGTTTCCTCAACCATTGCAGCACATTCTCTGGATTGGAGGGGGCCTAGACCGGCTTTCTCAGTCATTTTTCATATCGTCCCAGGCTGTCCCAGCCCCTGCGTTCGGAAAATCGACCAGTCTACCCAGGCGAGAGGGCCAGGGGCTCTCCCTAACATGCAAGGATCATGGTGTTTGAGTCTATGGAAGGTCATTCTACAGTATTCTACCAGAAAAAACATTCTTGGAGGTCCATGGGTCTAGGACATTCAGTTCGCAACCTCTTTGGAGTCTCTGTTTCTGAGCGTTGAAAACACTCCTGTTGATTACCGCAGCCACTGGGATCTCTAGTTCGGTCACTTTGAGAGTCATCGTTGGGTGAGCCGACTTGGTGTTGCCCCAGGTGACAACATCTGCGAGTGCTTAAGAAGAAACTCCAGCAAGTCTTTGGAGACACCGGAAAGCTCGGCTGCTTCGTTTGGATCTAAACTCGGAACCCCGAACTCACCAGGGGAGGTCGACCATAGTCTGTCTGTTCATTCTTGGTGGTCAACCAGGTTGTCCCAGCTTGGACCTAAACCCAGTTGGACAAACCGAATGAAGTCAGAGTCAGCATCCAAGGTGCCACAGCCCCAAAAGCCCAGTCACCTGGTGATCATTTCATGCATCCCATGCTCCAAACATGCGTCGCTTGAATCACTCTATCAAGAGCTTCCAGAAAGAAAAAGTCCCAAACATGTGGAGAAGCATCGAAACCTCGAACGACATCTGCATGTCACATGTCTATCTAAAGAAAAATAATTCATCAACTTGAGAAAGAAGGAACCTCTGAAGGCCTGCATCTTGCTAGACCTTGCTAGGATTTACATCGTGTTTTCACATGAATCTATGTGTCGGCTGCACGTAAACACAACAAGTCCTCCGTGTCCCGCTTTTTTCAGGCGTTTGCCCATTTGCTCGGTAAGCCAACAGACGCCGAAAATTGGATTCGAATCGATGAACAAACAAAACGAGGATGAAGATGTTGAACAATGGCAGGATTCGCTCTCACAGGGTACCGTCACCATGTATGCATTCTAGCAGACAGCCGCACTATATATACTTATGACCAGCACCACCCACCTGAAGATGTATTTTCTTAATAACCACCCCTTGGGTGCTGGTATTTTCCAGGTTTCCTTATAGAACAAACCGATTCTCCCACCGACTTCGATGCGGTGGCCTGGACCCCGTGGACGCCGACGCGACGCCGTGGTCATGGACATGACACGAGCAGCTGACACGCCCTGGACATGACACGCTTACCATACCACATCGACCATCTGAAGGTGTTGACATCCATTCATGGCCCAGAACTCGGTGTCAGCGTTTTTTGTGCGTCAGGTAGATGGTGTCCAATCATAGCTGATTGATACTCATTGTTTGGATGCTTGTTTGCCGATGTTAGATCTGTGTGAAGCATTCTCAACTCTTACTGATGATTCCTTGATGAGTGACAATGACCACATCAAAAAGCCTGTTCACCGATCCCTGACCTGATCTCCCGGATTGCTGAACCCTGCCCTTCCTCCAGCCGCGCGCCAGAGAAGTTAAAAAGTCCAGAAAACCATGACTTGACATGTGTGTGTGGCCGGGAATTGGGTGGAACTCGCAAGTGATAGTTGTGCAAAAAGATGCTTCTCTCAGTGACTATATTACTTCTCTCAGAAGTGGAAGTCCTGCTTCAACGATAATCAATCGCCCACAAGGACAATCAAGAGTAGGGAGAGGCAGTGGGCATCCTTTCGCCCTTCGGGGTCACCACACGGATTTTGGGAGAGGCAGTCAAACAGTCCAACAATGTTTCGTTCGACCCTCGTGCTGCCACAGTGCCGTGCTGACACAGTGCCGTGCCGACCTCCGTCCAGACACTCGGCACTCCGGTCGGATGGGGTGTGAAGACGTGAAGACGGTTCGAAGCAGCAAAAGGTGTCGGATACTATTAGAAAGAAGTGCCTTAACTAGTAGTAACAGGTGCCTTAACTAGTAAGAAAAAGCTACTTAGTACTATAGTAGTCTCATAGGCCCGTGCCTTACTACTAGTAACGTGTTGATACCTTCGATCCCAAAGACTGAAGTCCATTCCGAAGACGGAAGACCAGACGGTACGTACCATAGAAGTACCAGGAAGACCGTGGAGGCGCCAGTAGGAATAGGACCCAACAAAAATGGCACAAACATGGATGGCCCCCCCCTATAAGAAACATGGAGGCGCTTTGTCTCTTTTTTCCTCCATGTCGGACATGATGTTCAAGAGATTGCACGTGAGATTGCCAGTAGAAAGCTTCAAACTAGGCCGATTCAATGTCTTCGACCTGGGATGAACACGTTGACAAGTGGCGGTTTGGGCCCTTCTTTGGATCAAGGCACCTCAACGCCTCAACCATCCTCAAGCTGGTTTTGACCACCCATCTCCAGCAGCATTTATCACACCCACGTCACATCGCAAACTTGTCAACAGTCCTGCGATCCTGCTGCAGCGGTTCAAAGTTGCTGCGGATCGCGTGCCCGGTGCCGCGGAACTTCGACGCTGCGCTCACTTGTCTGGCCGTTCAAAAATGGAGAAGGGTGCCTGGGTGTCATACTCGGGCCTCAGCGGTGCAAAAAATGGCATGCGTTTTGGGCAGTTGCAGCATGCTTGAAGTCATCAAGTGAGGACCCACCAGTGTGTAAGGAGCGACCAAAGGAACCTGCTCACACAGAACCGATGCATAGCAGTGGTGCGCTACGCAGCGTGCGTAGCAGTGGGGCTGCGGATCAAAGGCCAAGGGAAACCTGTCCAAGGGCCTGGGAAGAATGTAGCACCGCTATGCCGAATCGCTCCGGCGCTGGTCGTCTATCTCTGCCTACTTAAGATGTCCTGTTTCATTCACTTACCCATATATAGATGCCTTTGTGTGGTCCCCAAACGGGTAGAAACGGTGTTGATGAAGACTCTCAGAGAGCGAGCAAGAGAGAGAGAGAGAGAGACGATCCAGTGTTCCATCCACTTTGGTGTCACTATAGTCACTATAGAGCATTTATATACGTTCAGCAAAGCAATCAATTCGATATAGCAGTGTTAAGTTAAAATACAGTGACCAAGGTCATCGCAAGCACCATGTCATCTGAGGTGGGTTTGATGGGAACAGTCGGCTCATGCAGTTGTGTCTAAAGATCATATACCGGGGCCAGCGGGCCAGGGGTGTCCAATAATAGCTCCTTAGAGGTTGTGAGGTGTCCATTAACCACCGGCACCGGGCGGTACCTGGGAGACAGAACGCCCATCCACCCCACCGACCCAACAAGACCACGGACGAATTCATACGGCGGCGACCGGCCTCCAAAGGAGGCCTTCTGAACTAGCAACGGCCGAAGACTTCTGGAACACTCCTGCTGGGGTCTCACCATGTCCCAGTCAGTTCGTGTCCAACTTCGGATGGTTGAAGCAACGGTGTCAGTGCGGTCGCAGCAACGGTTGGGGCGAAGAAGGACGGACATCCGATGGTGCTGGATGGTCCGGTGCTGGAGCCTCGCATTCGACAAGACCCTCCGAGTTTTTCTCTTGGAGCCCCATGTAACCACTCAAAAATCGAGGACAATGGCCAAAGAAACGGGTGACTCTTCGCGAATGGTTTGGACGAACGATCGGTCATCTTCGTGTCACTGGGCTTGTCCACCTCTCAGGTTCCTCGTTCACCGCCGTGAAGAGCGCCGTCAACGCAAAGAGAACAACGCCTCTCCGGTGGCGCCGAGCGCCGCGAGGCCCGGAAGTCGAGGTCGATGTTGTCTTCCAACAGAGGTTGAAGGACCCGAACTAGACTATCCCAGCAGGGTACCCCTTACGGTGACGGGTCCGTCCTTTTTCAGGTCACGTCGGAGACCTCTCGGGATACCTCTCTGCTGGTGCGGGATGCCTTTCGTCACGAAGACGAAGGGGGTGCAGGAGCACGACAAGCCACCCTGAGCACTTCTCTGTTTGCGGATGTTTGAAGAACTCAGCATGAATCTGTGCAACGTGCACCAGACAGGGCCAACCAAGTTCAAGAGGTTCCATGGTTTCAGACAAATTCTTTGGCACAAACATGTTCTCTATTCACCCAAGACACCACTGAGAACCAGGCTGGGTGGCCGACTGCAAATGATTTCATGTTGAATTGTTACATTGAGTCAATCTGAATTATGAATCCAGAGAGAACCATATAGTACCCACATCTTCTGGAGGTTGACGATTTGTGAGAGCTTGCAAGTGCGGCGCCCGACATGTTTTGAGTGTAACGAGAAAGGGCCGGGCCCGCCAATGATATTATTTTCACATAAACTTGCTTCTTTGCGCCAAAAAAGACCAGCACCTCCACCCTTCCACCCACCCAAATAGACCCTAGGCCTGCGCCCGCCACGTAAACGAAGATGGGATCAGCCTCAGGCTCTGTCACCTGAGAGGTCTCGCGGAGGCCCAAAGTGGGCACCTTTTAGGGGGTCAAAGTGGATAGACGATCCATGGTAAGCCATGGAAAAAAAAGAAAGAAATAAAGAAAAAAGGCAATGGCAGGCAACCTTTTTTTCAACCCCTGGAACATGTGTTTTTAACCCTGGAACCGGTTTTTTTTAACCCTGGAATATGTTTTGACCCTGTAACCATCTCTTTAATCCTGTCACATTGTTTCCCAAACCTCTAACATTTTGTTCTACCCCTGTAATTTACCGGGTCTCCCACCCCTTTCTTGCCTTTTCAAACAGGTCCAGTGTCATAGCAACACTGCCACTTTGCAGAATTTACCCCTCACCCGCCAAACCCCTCCACCCCCCCGCGCAAACCTGTGCGCATGAACATGAAATATTGTTAATCCCATCGAAAAAAA